CCCCCCAGCCACCAATTTCCTCCTAATCCTCTTTCCTTCCCCCATATCTCTCTCTCACACGCACACACACGCAAAAGCACACAGATAAGGTGGGGGGGAAAGAAAAAGTACAAAACCACCCCTCATGGCAGTGAACCGGTTCCACTCAGTTCCCCCAACATTGCAGATCCCAGGGCTTGGTCCCTAGACCTATCCCTAAACCCCTGTACAGCTACCCATGGACCATGTGCCTTGAACACAAGACCTGTCCCTCCAAACGTATATCGATGGTTAGTATAGGTAGTAGGGTTGTGTGGACTTGAACCGAAGACCTGCGGCTAGCTAAGGGTCAGTCCAGTAGCCCTACGTGTAGCTAAGGGTCAGCCAGTTGTAGCCTAGGAGTTTCTAGAAGTCTCTACTTGGCTCTTCAAAGCTGTAGGAATCAGTCGTTGTAGCTGAGTCATCAAGGTAGAGTCCAATTTTTGTCCAGTCAGCAGTCCCAGTCGGCAGTCCCAGTCCACTTTGTCTAGACAGCAAGTACCAGGTGAGGCTGCACATTCCTCAAGCCTGAGACAAAGGCAGGCCAGACCACCGACAAAACAGTATAAATAACGAGGCAGTGCCAAGCCATTTCATTCATTCGCCTATGAGCCATGCGGAAGCACTGCTTATGTGACTTGCGGATCAGAGGTCTCTAGGACTCCGACGACTAAGTGGGCTAGTGGAGTAAGACAGCGGCCATACTCGTGAGAGAGAGGAGGAAGACGACAGTTGCCATAGCCGCCAGGTTGCTGGTGTGTGCAGGGGCGTGGATATTCAGGGTGAATCCTAGTGCGTACCTGTGCGAGTGAGAGTGTGTTTGATGGTAAAGACAATGTGCGAGAGGAAATTCAGACCAGCATGCAGCAGTCCATAGCCGCTAGATGTGACGAGCTGACTTAAGCTGAGATTCTGGCCTTCACCCATATTTCTGAGTTCTCTATGTGGGTGAAGTGCGCCATCGCACGTTTGCTACGGATTCTGAGTTGACGAAGTTGTGTTGCCATCGGCACTTCCATGTATGCATGTTGCGAGTGACCGATCGCCGCGCCGCTGTGACAAAGAAGAAAAACGACACACGTGCGCACAAGAGAGAGAGAGAGAGAGAGAGAGAGAGAGAGAGAGAGAGAGAGAGAGAGAGAGAGAGAGAGAGAGAGAGAGAGCTTGGAGGAAGAAGAAGACCTGTGGTTCGAAGAAGGAGTTGACGAGAGTGAAGGAAGGGAGAGAGAGGTGACGAAGGTGAGGGAAGTCGGCCACAGCCGAACAAAGGACGAAGAAGAGGAGGGCAAAGTCGAAGAACGTGACAAGGTGAGGGAAGTCGGCCACAGCCGAACAAAGGACCAAGAAGAGGAGGGCGAAGTTGAAGAAGGTGAGGAAGGAAGGAGAAGCCACCATACCCAAGTGTTGACCAAAGTTGAAGAAGGTGACGAAGGAAGGAGAAGCCACCATACCCAAGTGTTGACCAACGTTGTCCAAGCGTTCCACGGCGTTGACCAAAGGTTGACCAGCGTGGACCATCGAATGTTGACCAGTGTCGTTGACCAAGCTGGAGAGCTGAGCGAGGAGCGGTATAACCCTTCAAGCCCTAGCCCTTGTTCTGGGTACCTTTTGGATGTTGCACACTCACGTTGGTACTTGTTGCGAGTTTGTCATCCCTTTCTGCATCGAGTCACTCTTCTCCAAGTCGATTAGTGGCCGTGGTTGCTAAAGCATCGAATGATTGTGGAAAGATTGGTGATTTTGGTTGCGGAAGCATTCGACGGTTGTGGAAAGATTGGTGAATGTCGTTGCGAAAGCATCCGAAGGTTGTGGTAACCTGGCTAAAGTGGAAGGGAGACCTCTGTAGTCCTTTAGAAAGTCAGTACTCAGGTGGAGGAGTGGAATTGCCAATGATTGTGCCCCTACCAACATGGTCACCACCAGGACCGAAACTAGCACAACCTCGTATAGTAAGGCACAAAAGGAAAAGAGTTGCCGCAATTCTCCACGAAAAGAGGGAGAAGATAGAGAAGGTGCTGATCCGACAGGCCAAGAAATTGGCCCTATTGGAAGAAGAAGCGGATGGAGGAGGAAATGGAAAAATGGAAGGAGCAAGAGGCGAAGTTGGCTGCAATGGAGGAGGAGGAAGAAGAAGAAGAAGAAGAAGAAGAAGAAGAAGAGGGACTATTGCGGAGAAGGGGGGAGGTGAGTTCCAGTATGGCCCCACCACAAGAGGTGGACAAGGCAGTGAAAGAATGGGTGGCTAATTTTTCGCTAGGGAAAGACAAAGAAGTTGAGTCAATCGTTCCCCAAGTTGAAACAGAGGAGGTAAGGCTAGAGTTCAAAGGAGAGAGGGATCCCTTGCGTCGACAAGCGAGGGAACAGGAGTGGAAGTTCCGTCTTGCGCAAGAGAGGACAAGGCGCCTGGAGGTGGCAGACAAAATGGAGAAAGAATCGAAGGCGACGGAGACACGACCAGGAGTGGAAGTTGCACCTTCCGCAAGAGAGGACAAGGCGCCTGGAGGTGGCAGACAGAATGGAGAAAGAATTGAAGGTAAGGAATATAGGAGAAGAAACTGTGGCAGCGCGTGGTGGACACGCGCGGAGATGGTGAGAGAGAGGAGAGAGAGGGAGAGGAGATGGACACACACATGAAGCAACAGCTGAGTGGAGGTCCAATCCGGCTCAATGAACGAATGAACCACTGAATGAATGAACCTGCCGCCCTGGACCTAGGCCGAAGTGATATACGGGCCTGGGTCCAGTAGCGGAATAAAAATGCCTGAACAGAAGAGGAAGGAACTCAGTCGCATGGCAGAGGTAGGAATAGGGGGGGAGGCGGAGGGTACAACTCTTAGAGTAAACTCCAAGGGGGCGCTCGCACAACCAGGTAAGGGTCATCAGGCTCAGGGGGGGGAGTAACAGCACAACACCAGGCTCAATGGAAACCATCAAACGGGCACCGCCAGCTAAAAGGGGAATGGCACTAACACAAGGGAGCACGCATAAGGTGAGCCTGGCAGGAGAGAGGGCTATGCCGGCATAGACATATGGCCCAAGAGCCGCGAGCAAAGAAAACGTACACTCCAGAGGAGGGCTCGCAGCATAAGGTAAGGCAGAAGGGCGGCAAGCGGACACACCCACATAGACAGGGGAAATAGGGGTCATCATGCGACTGGAGGGTAAGGATACAGGGGGATGATGAGAACTCTGTAGCCGAAGAAGTGAAGTAGTCCAACTGATGAGTCTCCAGACTGAAGTCGAATCGAAGTAGCCAGGATGAAGTAGGAGTAATGCAGAAAACCAAGTGGACGTCCGTAACAACGCGACATGTACTCTGGTACTGAACAGAAGCACCGAGGTCGAAAGTCGAATGTACCGGGAGCTGCTGCGTAGTGTCCAGGAATGGTAAGAGATAGAGGGCATATGGGGGGTAAGGTCAGTCACGACATCGAGAAGGAAGTCGATGGGTACGCTGAGGGCGAGAGGACTCAACTGCAACAACAGGGAGAACCACATCCACAGGGGAAGGAGGACCTGAGGCAGGTACCGGTGGAGCAGGAGGACCCATCGATGGAGGAGGGGGGGTGTTAGTGGTCGCTGAAGTAGATGGGTCAGTAGAAGGGCGAGAAGTGGGGGGGGATGATGATGAAGGGAAAGGGTGAGCACGGTCGTAAGCACGCACAAAAGTCATAGCATGCTTCAGGTGCTCAAGAGGCTCCCACGTAGACTCCTTGTCAGGGTAACCCTTCCATCGAACGAGATACTCGAGGCGGGGAGGATCACCATCAGTCATACGCCGAGACGCAATATCAGAGACGACAAACTCCTCGTGACCTTCAATGATGATGGGAGAAGGGCGAGGGTAAGGTCGACCGTGAAACTCAGGAGGAGACCGTCTGAAAGGGCGCGAAAGAGATACATGAAACACATCATGTAGGTTAGCGCGATACATGGAATCGGGGAGCTTCAATTTGAAGCTCACTGGACAGTCATGATTGGGTCCGGCGGGTGCGAGAATGGTRCATGGTCCGATATATCGACGTCTGAATTTCCGAAGCGTGTCGGCTTCGGRCTGGAAGTGACGTGCGTCGACAAGGACCTCATCACCAACTTTGAARGGATGGTCAATGMGTGAGCGGTTGGCGCGGGTCGCCATGCGAGTCTGGGAGTGAGCAATGCTCTCTCGAGCCTTGCTAAGGAGCGCATCCATCTCCTTTACCCACTCATCGAGAGCTGGGCATTTGGTGTCAGGGTGAATTTGGGATGGACGGAGGAGATCAGATGGGACAAGGGGGTGATATCCCAGGTCACAGTAGTAGGGGGACATGCCGGTGGCGGGAGAGATAGCGTGGTTATAAGCGATCTTAGCATGAGCAAGATGAAGATCCCAATCAGAGTCATTCTCAACAAACTTCTTGAGGATAGTCCCAAGAGTTTTGTTGGTGACCTCAGTCTGTCCGTCTGACTGGGGGTGGTAGGAGGAGGAAAGGCGAAGCTCGGATCCATAAGTCTCATGAAGTCCACGCCAAAAATGAGAAGTGAAGCGGGGATCGCGATCGGAGACAATGCTAGTGGGGAGACCATGATGAATGGCAATATGTCTTTGGCTGAACTAGCATACTTGCAGGGGAGGAAGTGAGCATGCTTAGTCAATCGGCAGACAACAACAAAGATAGCATCGTGGCCTCGTGGGGTAGGGGGACAAAGTGGGCCGATGAAGTCCAAAGAGACGGAGGTCCAACGCTGGGTGGGAATGGGTAAGGGTTGAAGAAGGCCGTAGGGAGGGTGGTTGGGAATGCTGGCCTCCTGGCAGGTCCTGCAGGTGCGAACGTACTTTGTCGTGAAAGGACGGCGGTGCTCCCAGTAGTAATGTCGGTAGAGTCGGTCAAGGGTCTTGAGGATACCGAGATGACCGGCGACACGCTGATCGTGACACTCAGCGACAGCTCGAACACGAAGCTGGCCGATAGATGGGACACATAAGCGGGGAGTACGGTTACCTTGGCGACCAAGCCAATATAGGAGTCCAGAGGGGTCGAGCTGGAAGTTAGGGATAGTCTTGCCGGTCTGTAAGTCAGCGTAGATGGACTGAAACTCGGAGCACTGGGGGTATGCCGACCGATACTCATCTAGGAAAGCGGGGTGGATGACGGGGAATGAAATGGCAGAGAGCTGGCGATCATCGCACTGAAGATCGGGGCGGCGAGACAAGGCGTCAGCTACGCGATTGCTTTCCCCAATAATCTTCTTGATGGTAAAGTCGAACTCTGCGAGATCACGCCACCAACGAGCCTGGCGAGGGGTAAGCTTCGGCTTCGTCTGGAAAGCGGCGAGGACAGAGTTGTCCGTCAAGTCGGTGAATGTGTGACCGTGTAAGTGATGACGCCACTTCTTAACAGCGTAAACCAGCGCGAGGACCTCACGCTCGTCAGCAGTGTAGTTACGCTCAGCAGGAAGTAGCTGTCGAGATAGATAAGCAACTGGGCACTCTCCATCGCGAGACTCCACTGTGCCGTCATCAGCGATGTCAGGGGTGTAGGGAGGTGGAGCCCCTGAGGGGGTGGGCTCGATTGGTGCAAGTCGAGCCGCAGTCGCTGGGAGTGGGGGCGGAAAGCGAGGAATGCGAGGGAGACGAGAATCTGTGGGGTCGGGAGAAGTAGAAGGGGCTGGGTAAATCTGGGAGAGGGCAGCTCCTATGGCAAAGTCGGACGCGTCGGTGGTGACGATGAATGGACGGGAGTAGTCGGGTAGGTGTAGGACAGGGGCTGACGTGACAAGTCGCTTCAGAGAGCAAAAGGCATCCTCATGAGCCGGGGTCCAATGGAAGGGTAGACGTCCGCGGGTCAGAGGAGTCAGCTGTGAAGAGTACTGCGCGTAGTTTTTAAGAAAGTGAGTAGTTGGTCAACCCCAAGAAACTACGTAGCGCAGGAAGAGAAGTAGGTGTAGGCCAATCGACGATAGCCTGGATCTTCGAGTCGTCCATGTGGAGTCCATGCTCGGAGACCTGATGTCCTAGAAAGTCGACCTTGGATTGAGCGAAGGCGCATTTGGAGAGCTTCGCATAGACTCCGTGGTCGCGTAATCGCTGGAGGACAGTGCGGAGGTGGGTCATATGCTCCTCTAAGGTACGACTGTAGATCAGGATGTCATCAATGTAGACTAGAACAAAGTCCTCGAGAAGGTCCTGGAACATCGTGTTCATAGCCATCTGGAAGGTGGCAGGACCGTTACGGAGGCCGAACGGCATGACAGTGAACTCGTAGTGTCCAAATCGAGAGCGAAACGCGGTCTTGTGCTGGTCCTCCTTGGCCACGCGGATCTGGTGGTATCCGCTGCGAAGATCAATCTTCGTGAAAAAGTGGTGGCCAGCGAGACGGTCGAACAGGTCATCTGCGCGGGGCATGGGATAACTGTTTCTGACCGTATACTGGTTGAGGCCGCGGTAATCGAGACAGAGGCGGAGGGCGCCGTCCTTCTTTCGATCGAAGAGGACTGGTGCGCTCCACGGTGACGTGCTCGGTTTAATGAAGCCCTGACGAAGCAGCTCGTCGATCTGGCGTTTAAGTTCCTGGGCTTCGGGGACCGAGAGGCGGTATGGGGCTCGATGCTGGACACGATAGTTCGGTTCGAGCTGGATGCGGTGCTCGATGTCA